TCGGTGGACACGAGAGCGAAATTTGCAAACAACATCGCACGACGGTTCGAACAGATCCCAGTGATGACAACTAATGCTGAAACCGAGTGGCAGCTCCTTAAGAGCGGCCAACTCGAAGCTGCCGCCGAATGCTGCGGATATAAACGGGTTAGCCTAAAGCGTGGAAATCAGAAGACATCTTCCTGATGAACATGAGAAGTACAACTGACAGCTAAAGAGAAGAAAACAGCGTTCAGGAAATGGCTTGGAAACAAGGAGCCATTAACACGCGTGCGATATGTCGAGGCACGCAAGGCGGCAGCCATAGCAGTGGCAAAAGCCAAGGCTGATTCCCGGGAGACGTTTGGTGAAGTGTTGGAGTCGAATTTCCACACGACAAAGTATTCTAGCAGACCATTCGCCCGCTCCGAAGTGAAAAGAAAGGCAGCCTACGACTTGAATGACGAGTGTGGACACTCTCTTGCCGAGGACGAAGATGGACAGAGTACGGTGAGGAACTCCTTAACGACTAGCAATCCCAGGAAGACTAGCATATAGAGCAGCAGGAAACGGATATTATAATTTCTGTAGATTAAATCACACAAAGTGTCAAAAGCTTGAAAAGCGGAAAGGTTGCTGCAATTGATGTAATCCGCTAAATGCTCAAAATGAAATGCTCAAAGCAATAGGCGAACTAGAATAGCATAAAATAGCATATGCTGGCTTAAACGTATCTGTCAAATTGCAATGCCTATAGGGAAGACAACAGTGGACTGGAGTAGAGGGATTGTAGTACCCCTCTACAAGAAGCGAGGCCACAGGGAGTGCTCCAATTATCGGGGCATTACGTATTGAGACTCTCGGGTAAAGTCAACACAAAGTTGCCATAAAGGAGGTGCCGCGGAATAACTGACTCCAAGACACAAGAAGAGCAGTGTTGTTTCCGGCCCCGAGGAAGCACCGCTGACCAAATATTCTTCCTATGGCACATTGTTGAGAAATGACGGAAGTTCGCTCATCCGGTGTACATTTGCTCTGTTAAACCTAAAGAAGGACCATGATCATGTGCAACAGTCTGTAGGCATGCTTGCGAACATACAGAATCGATGGAAATTTACCATGGGCCATCGAGTCACTTGCTGACAGCAAGTGTCGCGTCAGCATAAATGGCGCTAAGTCGAAGCCTTTCAGGGTTGGCATTGGTCTCCGTCAAGGCTGTGTTCTGACCCTTTTTCTGTTTGTGTTGTACAGAAATAGAATAGCCAGGCTCAGCCAGGGAGATGAGTGTATCAGCGTGGGAGATGCCAGACAAGAAGGCTGCTGTTTGGAGACGGCCTTGTTTCGTTGGTATCTTCTGAAACTGATCTACAGCGCTCTATGTAAAGGTTTGCAGCCGACGTTGCCGACATGTGTGAACGTATCTAAAACGAAAAGTCTAGTGCTCTCTCTTCAGATAAACGGAGAAGCAGCGGAATAGTTTGGAAAGTTCAGGTACCTTCGAGCCGTGTTTACTGGTGATGGAAAATGGGAGGAAGAGATCGACATGCGGAATGGAACAGCCTGTGGCATTTTGAGTGAACTAGCCCGAATCACTAAGACTAAAGCAGATATGAGTCTGAAAACTAAGCTCTCGGTGTTCAAGTCGATCATCATCCCCATGATCACGTACTATCATAAGTCGCGAATCATCACTGAAAAACTTCGATTCCAGGCACGGGCAGCTGAATTGGGCTTTCTGAGACGAATCGTTGACATTACGCGTATCGACATGGTCCAGAGTACAGAAATACGCGACAACCTAGGTGTACAGCGGCCGCATCTTCATGTTGAGAAGTGACAGCTGCAAACGTTTGGACACGTGTTGCGAATGCCTTCAGAAAGGAAGGCGAAGCCACTTTTACTGGCTCAGAGAACAGACAGAAGGAACAGAGAACGGTCAAGATACTTGAGTAAACTGCGCTGAGTCTAGACTTTCAACGCTCACACTTTTCTTTGCCAAGGCTGCGTTCTGTCCGCACTCATGTTAGTGCTGCACTTGCATAGAATAGTCAAGTGCAGTCAGATCGATGAGTGGATCAGCGTGGGAGATGACGAGACAAAAAGGTTGCTTTCATGG